GAAGAAGTGAGGGGAACAAGTAGGGTTTACATTAGGGAGTAATAGATTAAGTTCCTGTTGCCAGAGTTTGGATTTGATGATTTGGTGGGCTCTGTGAAGATTGGTGTCTGAAAGAGATTCGGGGGAGAGGTCCAGAGATGCGAGCTTAGCATCGAGAAGTTTAAACCACTTGGATGAGAAGGGATCTTTTAATAGGTCATTGAGTAAGGAGTCAGGGTGGGTATTGAGGTGGAGTCTAAGCCAAAACTTGAAGGTTAGGGACCAAGCGGTGGTAGAGGGGAGACGGATGCCTAATTCAAGTATCAGTGTGGATAATCTAATTAGGTTAGGGACCCCAAGAATCCTTCTGAGGAAGGAGGCAGCTACTTTGTCAAGGTCTTGATTTGCAGCCTCAATCCAGATTGGGGCTCCATATAGCAGCTGGGAAAGGATTTTGATTTGGAATATGTGGAGAGCAGCAGGGATGTACTGGTTGCCACTGTTAAAGTGAAAGCGGGCAATTGCATTTAAATGTGGTAAGGCTGAGGAAATGGCAGATTTGCGGTGGTGGATCCAGCTATGTCGAAAGTGGAAAGTGATCCCCAAGTATTTAAAGGTCTGGACTTGCTGGAATGATAAATTACCAATCTTCCAGACAGATGGGGCCCAAGATTTCGAGAAAACCAAAATTTTTGTTTTCTTGGAATTAATTGATAATTCATTGGCGAGGCAGTAATCTTGGAAAGAAGATAGCAGAAGTCTAAGGCCAGGTTTAGTGACTGACAGCAGCACCGCGTCATCTGCATAAAGAAGAATGGGTACGGGGACACCGTTAAGGGAGGGGAGTTTCCAGAACTAGAAAGAAATGAAGGCAGATCTGCAAGATATAAGTTAAAAAGAGAAGGAGCAAGTATACAACCTTGACGGACTCCTTTGTTGATGGAAATTTCGTCAGTCATGGAGCCTGTGCCATCAAGGCGAATCCGGCACGAATTGGAAGAGTGAAGACGTTGAATCAGAAAAAGGAGGCGGGGGTCAATCCCCCAGTTGGCCAATTTCTTCCACAGGATGTCCCTGTTGATTGAATCGAACCTCCCGGAGGATAATAGACAGCTAGGACAATGGGCATCGCCCTCTTATAAGTGGTATGTTAGGGCACTCCCTAATGTGTAGGCAGAGACCTATTGTGTTTATGTCTTGCAGGTGCCCATTGATAGCCAGGCAGAGATCGTGATGGTGGGCCACAATTATGTTTTTCAGGCAGTGAGATATGCTGCTGCATCCCCATGGGGAAGCAATCTTGGCTTTGACACGTGGGCAGATAGATCAGCTCTGTCATGCGGTTGCCTTTGGACGACACCCACCAGAAGTGTTGGTGATATACCTAGGCGGCAACGATTTGGCATGGTACCCTGGAAAGGCACTGATCCTTGATATTATCCATGAACTCACCTGGTTGAGGGGCACCTACCCTGGCATGCATATCATTTAGCCCAGTGGTCCTCAACCTTGGGCCTCCAGATGTTCTTGGACTTCAACTCCCAGAAATCCTGGCCAGCAGAGGGGACCACTGGTTTAGTTGATGATCAATCCTCGCCTGTTTTGGAGGGATGGGAGACAATTTTTACCCGTATACACTGCCCATCAGAGTGTTAACAGGGAAGTCTGCATAGCTGTTTGCAGAGGCCTAGAATCAGTGATCGCTCATTACAGATTCGTTTGGATAGGCCAGAATTTTTCCAGTCAGTTTGGATGTCTTCCTCAAAGACATCAAGGGGGGTGCTTTTGGAGATTGATCAGCTTGATGGCGGGCATGGGACTTAGCTTGGCTAGTCCAAATGCTGTGTCAGTTAGTGCAGATTAAACAGGTATTTGAAGAGGGAAGTCAAATTGTAATAGCAGGTAATTATAGCTCATCTGAACTCCCAGCACTGTGGATCATGCGATTACAGTGCTTGGGGGAAAAGATGTGATAGGGACACACCTGGACCATCAGTCAGAACAGAGAGATTGGCATGAGGTCCGTGGTGGTCAAATTTGGGCCAGCAGATTTTCCCACTGTCTTCACGACTGGGAGAATTGAGGCCAGGGTTTAGCACATTGGTTGTTTAGAAGGGTCCTTTTAGGCCCAGGTTTGAAACCAGACTCCACACTACAGCAGGACCCCCCCCCTTTGCCAAATGATTGGCAACAATGATAATATCTGAATAAGTGTGGCCCGTGTTTAACCCATATTCTTGGTCTCACGTATTTATTCCAGGGTAAGAGGACAATAGGATAAGTGAGGTAGTTGCAGCATCATGGGCTGATGGTTCCCACAGAGCCTTGCAGAGGCCTGACGTGGTGGTCTCTGAAGACCGAACTGTTATTCATCTGAGAAGATCAAAAATGGGCCAGCAGGGGAAAGGCCATATCATTAGGCTGGGAAAGTGTTCCATAGCAGAATTGTGCCCTGTGCACATCATGCAGGAGCTCCTAGCTCAGAGGGTTGTGAGTGAGAGTGAGTTGTTTTGCCATAGAGAGGGGACCTTTGACAAAATATCAGTTTTGGAGGGTAATTTTCAAGTTGCAACAGAAGGCCGCGATTATGGGATGGAAGTTTGGGACCCACTTTATTCGAATAGGGGCAGCGTGAACAGCTGCTGCAATGGGTTACGATGATTAAGAGGGTGATTAAGAGGGTGGGGGTGGGCTTCTCACAGATATCACACATATGTTCACCCCCTGCCGCAATGCTAGGTGCTGGCTTGTTTTTTTCTATTCATGTTTTTCAGATCTGGAGGTCCCATTGGGCCAGATGCCAGTTTTAGTGGTTGGCCATGGTACAGACTGGGTTATCCCCCTTGGTGTCGGGGTTTGTGAAGTTAAAGTTAAGGGGGGGAACAAGTTGTGTTGAAGCATCCACTAAGAGAAAGGAGCCATCAGGGGAATGTCTATCCACAATGCAAGTGGGGAAAAGAGAAGTGGGAAAACTACTATTGTCAGGGCACAGAGAAAGAGTTGGGTTTTCACAGTCCGGGGGAATTCTTGGGGGGCAATTGGGGACCCTGGGATCTGGGGTGGATTCCAAAATGAGGGGGTAGCGGTTGGAAGTAGTTCCAGTTGGTCGATCAACAGGGTTCATCTGTAACTTTTTCTGGCAGTCGGAGTTCACATCAGCATCAATCAGAGGGGAAGGGAGGTCTGTTGGAGGTGGCAAATCCAGAAGGCAGTCCCTAGGGGCGGGAGAAATATTAGAGCTCTGGCCCGTATTGGGAGGAGATTCTGGTGCAGGAGCCGTCGTCTTGGAGTCTCGCAGGTTAGGCTTGAGCGGTAGAAGGCTCACGATGGTGGTATTCCTAAAATGTCTTTGGGGGAAGATGCCAGTTCTTCTCAGAATTCCTGCACGTGAAAACAGCAGTCCCGGGATGCGATTGGAGGTGAAGAACAACAAGAAACGGTCCGTAGAGTGAGAGGAGGGCAATTTCTCAATTTTGAGCAGATCAGTGGTGGAGGAGGCAACTTTTAGTAGTGTAGCCAAATGGCTTTTGGCATGCTTTATTCTGGACCAATCAGAGTATTTTCCTCTGCCCAGAGATACTGAGATTGCTGCACAGTTGGGATCATAGATTAGTTGAGCAGTTTTAGGAGCATAGGTGAGAGTAGGGGAATTCATACTACATGAGGGATTGGCAACAGCCTTCTGGGGTAGACAGGGATTAGAGCCTGCATGAGGGTTAGAGTTGATTGATTGCATCGTAGGGATTATCCGGTAAAGTCCTTTTAAGAGTTCGACTGCCGTGGTTAGTTGGGTAAATATCTGGTCTACCGTCTGGGCAGTCAAAAGGGAGTATTTCATTAGCAAATTATCAGGCTCCTGGTCCAGAGATGTTTCCTTGTCGGACATGGGAAGATTTTGTTTATTCCCACAGAGGCTGCTGGGGGGAGTAACAGATTCCAAGTAGGCTAGTTGAGCGGAGGGGGAGGGAAGGCTCGGCAATAGGTCATCAGACGCTAGAGGTTGGGACAGAGGGAAAAAAGCCTCCAGTTTTGTCTGTTTAAAGTTGGGAGTCACATCAGCTTCTGAGTCCCCAGGAGATAAAGCTCTTTTTTCCCCATTGGGCTAGGGGAGAGAGCTAAAGAAATTTGCTAGGGAAACTCACTCATAGTTCAGGAGGAATGGCGTCTGGTAGGAGCCGGCCAGCTGGTCCTGATAAGGTTCTTGTTTGTCTTGAGAGACGAGCAAGCTAGACGCAACAAGTTTCCGCAAGCTCGAGAGTTGTTCAGTTAGGGTTGTGATAAGCTCACAAAAGTGGTAATCAGTTCGAGGCTTAGAGGGTACAAGAAAAAAAAGCTAAAAGGGTAGCAGAGCTCCAACTCCTGCGTCCTTCGGCTTGGGCTCCCCACGTGACCTCCTTCTTTAACAGTCATTCCTTTCAACTTCTCTTCTACGATCCCCTGGTCTGTTTCGGGTGGTCTTATCTTCCTAGGAGGGGGAATAGGTGGTGTTTGCACTTCCTTTTCGGCCAAGGGCGGGAGGGACAGCACTCCTGTGAGAGGAATCTTGCTCTCATCATCAGTCTTACAGACATTTCTTCTGCGGGGCTTAAATCATGCACATTGTTCTGGTTTGTGTTTGTTTACAGGCTGATGCATTCATTATAGATGCCACTCAGATGCTGTCTAAAAAAACTATGTTTCCTGTGCTGAGAGTTCACCACCTCAACATAACATTTAGAACTGCTTGTCATCTCAGAGGATACAAGGGACAGCCTAAATAGTTTATAAATATAAAATAGAAAACATTGTGATAAGGAACTGGAAGCTACACACACTGAGGTGGGATCATTGTCACCGTTTTTTGACAAGTCATCCCATTTTAACTATAACATATTGACTAGATCATTTTAAAAAATCTCGGTTTTAGCTGGTCAGGGATAAAATTTTATACAGTGATAATATGTGCATGTAACATTAATCACCTCATGCCTCTGAGATAGGATGAGCTATAGGTCAAATATAAAAATAATTTAGCAACCTACCTAAATACTTCTGTAAGAAGGCCAATGAAGCTTTATTGCTAACATCAATGGCTGTATTTGGGTCTACATCTCCCTTCAGCTTAAACATCTTTCCAACGATATTGCCAACCAGGAATGTGAAGTCTGGAAAACTCTGATGTAGTGATCCCCTGCAAAGAGCAAATATGTTTTTCAACAATAGTACTGTTAGGAAAGGATAAGAAATATACTTCAAAATTATACGCTGTCATATAAGTAAATAATCATGCACAACATTTTTCCTCATCTAACTAAAAGAAAACAAGATCACAGCTGCTTCCTGAAGGCAAATCTTTGTCCTTAGATTTAATGACTGATAATCATATTTTATTTTAAAAAAAACTTGACAGGTTAAATTATGACCATTTTTAGGGACATCATAATTGCAGAAAAAAATTCTTTGGCTGGGTCCCACCTAATATGTGCACAAATAAAAAGGCCAACGTTTCCTTTCGGCAGTAGAATCTCCTGATTTGGGAGTTACTACTGAAAGCCTCTGAACGTGAGGCAGCACTTTTTGAGGGAGGCAGGAGCCAAGATGCCAGTGTGTGAATGGAGAAGAACACAGGAACAGTGTTCCCCTCCAGGATGAGAAAGGAGAAATGTCTTTTCTAAAATGATGCCTGCCATACACAGGTTTTTCAAAACATGTATATTGGATATTTTTAAAATTCTGCAAAGTGACTGAAACCACATTTTAGAGGTCATTAGAAAATGCTTATTCAATGAAGCTGAAATTCTTTAGTCCTAAAGACAGGCCTAAGAAGCACTACTGCTAGTTCCTGCATCTGCAATATCATTTGGTCTTTGTAAGAGGAATGGAGTGCCCCATCTGGCCCTCTGAAAAGTATTCCTCTCCCATCAGCTGCTGATCTGAGATAATTTCTCCTACTCAATGTTGAGAAAGAGGATCCTGAGCAGGAAAAAACTTATCTGTCCCAAGCAACTGAATGTGAATAACATGGAGAGTGTCTGTAGGTGTCTGTGAACAGTGTGCAAGGGAGTGAGACGGTAATATCTCTTTTAATGCGGTCCCCAGAGTCCTTAGTGAAATATTAATTTTTACCGGAGGAATATGGATTCTGTGGACATTTTCTAGCTCCCCCCATTGTTCCCATAATTCTGTATCCTCAGTGATTTTGATTCATTTGGCTTACTAAAAGATTTGGAGCATTTTTTAAATAACTTAAAAAAATTAAAAATCATTATTTAAAATCATTAGATTAGCACGAGCAGCATTGTTTGAGCTGTTTGCTGGCCTGGGGAGGCTTTCCTCCGTGAGTAGTGTAAAGTTTGAGTCTCACAGTCAGATGCCTGAAAAATGTGGCCTCACAGATCATTCTGACCCTCTTCCTGGCTAGCTGGATGTCACTGTTTCTGTGTCCATTAGAACAACAACAGTAAGTTAAATTAATTAAGGTTAATTCAGTTAATTTAAATTAACTTCTCCCATTAACACCCATGTTTTCACTTACTGAACGGATTTTTTAAAAATGCAAATGGGATCAAAATGGCTTCCCTATCAGAACAGATGCTGAATGCATGAGACAGGGTCTTCTCTGCAAGAGCATCTGGACAGAGGAAATCAAGTTGGTCCTGTCCTTGTGAGTTCCTGACTCATATGGCCAAAGCCATAAGATTCCATCTCACATCTGATTTTCAAAACTGTTTTTAATTTATCTTTAATTTTTTAATGTTTAATTGTAATCACTTTGGGAGCCTTTTGGTGGAGAAACAGTTCATAAAGATTTTAAATAATCAAATAGTAGATCAGTAGATAATGTCTTTCTGGAAAGGGATATGGGTGCCACAAACACTGGATTGTGAAAGAAATACAGTTCATGTGAAAAAGGAAGTACACCCTCTTTGAATTCTATGGTTTTATTTATCAAGCCATATTAAAAATAATCTGGTCCTTAACAAGTCTGAAAATTAGGCAAATACAACCTCAGACAAACAACAACCACATGACATATTGTACTGTGCCATGATTTATTTTAAAAAAATAAGCCAAAATGGAGAAGCCATGTGTGATAAACTAAGTACAGTGGTGCCTCGCTTAATGGTGATAATCCGTTCCAGGAAAATCGCCGTTAAGCGAAAACATTGTAAAGCGAAAATAAAAAACCCATTGAAACGTATTGAAAGGTTTTAAACGCATTGAATGGGTTTAAAACTCACCGTCCAGCGAAGATCCTCCATACAACGGCCATTTTCCCTGCCTGTATAGCGAGGAATCCGTCCCTAAACACAGCAGGGAGCCATTTTAGTTACCCGGCAGCCATTTTGAAACCACCAACCAGCTGTTTAAAAATCATTGTTTTGCGAAGAATTGGTTCCCGAAGCAGGGAACCGATCATCGCAAAGCGAAATTCCCCCATTTAGACCATCGTTTTGCTAAATACTTCTGTAAGAAGGCCAATGAAGCTTTATTGCTAACATCAATGGCTGTATTTGGGTCTACATCTCCCTTCAGCTTAAACATCTTTCCAACGATATTGCCAACCAGGAATGTGAAGTCTGGAAAACTCTGATGTAGTGATCCCCTGCAAAGAGCAAATATGTTTTTCAACAATAGTACTGTTAGGAAAGGATAAGAAATATACTTCAAAATTATACGCTGTCATATAAGTAAATAATCATGCACAACATTTTTCCTCATCTAACTAAAAGAAAACAAGATCACAGCTGCTTCCTGAAGGCAAATCTTTGTCCTTAGATTTAATGACTGATAATCATATTTTATTTTAAAAAAAACTTGACAGGTTAAATTATAACCATTTTTAGGGACATCATAATTGCAGAAAAAAATTCTTTGGCTGGGTCCCACCTAATATGTGCACAAATAAAAAGGCCAACGTTTCCTTTCGGCAGTAGAATCTCCTGATTTGGGAGTTACTACTGAAAGCCTCTGAACGTGAGGCAGCACTTTTTGAGGGAGGCAGGAGCCAAGATGCCAGTGTGTGAATGGAGAAGAACACAGGAACAGTGTTCCCCTCCAGGATGAGAAAGGAGAAATGTCTTTTCTAAAATGATGCCTGCCATACACAGGTTTTTCAAAACATGTATATTGGATATTTTTAAAATTCTGCAAAGTGACTGAAACCACATTTTAGAGGTCATTAGAAAATGCTTATTCAATGAAGCTGAAATTCTTTAGTCCTAAAGACAGGCCTAAGAAGCACTACTGCTAGTTCCTGCATCTGCAATATCATTTGGTCCTTGTAAGAGGAATGGAGTGCCCCATCTGGCCCTCTGAAAAGTATTCCTCTCCCATCAGCTGCTGATCTGAGATAATTTCTCCTACTCAATGTTGAGAAAGAGGATCCTGAGCAGGAAAAAAACTTATCTGTCCCAAGCAACTGAATGTGAATAACATGGAGAGTGTCTGTAGGTGTCTGTGAACAGTGTGCAAGGGAGTGAGACGGTAATATCTCTTTTAATGCGGTCCCCAGAGTCCTTAGTGAAATATTAATTTTTACCGGAGGAATATGGATTCTGTGGACATTTTCTAGCTCTCCCCATTGTTCCCATAATTCTGTATCCTCAGTGATTTTGATTCATTTGGCTTACTAAAAGATTTGGAGCATTTTTTAAATAACTTAAAAAAATTAAAAATCATTATTTAAAATCATTAGATTAGCACGAGCAGCATTGTTTGAGCTGTTTGCTGGCCTGGGGAGGCTTTCCTCCGTGAGTAGTGTAAAGTTTGAGTCTCACAGTCAGATGCCTGAAAAATGTGGCCTCACAGATCATTCTGACCCTCTTCCTGGCTAGCTGGATGTCACTGTTTCTGTGTCCATTAGAACAACAACAGTAAGTTAAATTAATTAAGGTTAATTCAGTTAATTTAAATTAACTTCTCCCATTAACACCCATGTTTTCACTTACTGAACGGATTTTTTAAAAATGCAAATGGGATCAAAATGGCTTCCCTATCAGAACAGATGCTGAATGCATGAGACAGGGTCTTCTCTGCAAGAGCATCTGGACAGAGGAAATCAAGTTGGTCCTGTCCTTGTGAGTTCCTGACTCATATGGCCAAAGCCATAAGATTCCATCTCACATCTGATTTTCAAAACTGTTTTTAATTTATCTTTATTTTTTTAATGTTTAATTGTAATCACTTTGGGAGCCTTTTGGTGGAGAAACAGTTCATAAAGATTTTAAATAATCAAATAGTAGATCAGTAGATAATGTCTTTCTGGAAAGGGATATGGGTGCCACAAACACTGGATTGTGAAAGAAATACAGTTCATGTGAAAAAGGAAGTACACCCTCTTTGAATTCTATGGTTTTATTTATCAAGCCATATTAAAAATAATCTGGTCCTTAACAAGTCTGAAAATTAGGCAAATACAACCTCAGACAAACAACAACCACATGACATATTGTACTGTGCCATGATTTATTTTAAAAAAATAAGCCAAAATGGAGAAGCCATGTGTGATAAACTAAGTACAGTGGTGCCTCGCTTAATGGCGATAATCCGTTCCAGGAAAATTGCCGTTAAGCGAAAACATTGTAAAGCGAAAATAAAAAACCCATTGAAACGCATTGAAAGGTTTTAAACGCATTGAATGGGTTTAAAACTCACCGTCCAGCGAAGATCCTCCATACGACGGCCATTTTCCCTGCCTGTATAGCGAGGAATCCGTCCCTAAACACAGCAGGGAGCCATTTTAGTTACCCGGCAGCCATTTTGAAACCACCAACCAGCTGTTTAAAAATCATTGTTTTGCGAAGAATTGGTTCCCGAAGCAGGGAACCGATCATCGCAAAGCGAAATTCCCCCATTTAGACCATCGTTTTGCGATGGCATTTGTGATTGCAAAAAGATTATCGTAAAGCGGATTTGTCGTAAGGCAAGGCAATCGTAAAGCGAGGCACCACTGTACACCCTTAATTCCATAGGAATTAAGAGTCTAAGTAGCAGCCAGGTGCTGCTAACCGGATGGCCTTGATCATCAGCAAGTGTGGCCACCTCTATAAAAGCCCATGTTTTAGCAGTTTGCTGATCTGGAGCATTAAGATGTGTGTTAACACAATGCCAAGGAGGAAACACATCAGCATTGATCACAGAAAAGCAATTGCTGTTGCCCATCAATCTGGGAAGGATTATAAGGCCACTTCCAAACAATTTAAAGTCCATTATTCTACAGTGAGGAAGATGAATCACACATGGAAAGCATACAAGACAGTTGCCCAATCATCCCCAGAGTGGACAACCAAGCAAATTCACCCCAAGTTCAGATCAGACTGAGCAACGCTCAGAGAAATTGCCAAAACCCCAAGAGTTACATCTCAGACTCTGCACGCCTCAGTATGTTAAATGTTCATGTTCATGGCAATACAATTAGAAAAAGATAGAACTATGGTTTGTTTGGAAGGTTTGCCAGGAGAAAGCCTCCTCTCTCTAAAAAGAACATGGCAGCACTGCTTAGGTTTGCAAAGTTGCATCTCCACAAACCACAAGGTTTTTGGAACAATGTCCTTTGGACAGACAAGAATAAAGTGTCTGGCCATAATACACAGCACCACATTTGGTTGAAACCAAACAGCACATCAGCACAAACACCTCATCCCAACAGTCAAGCATGTTGGTGGAGGGGTGATTATTTGCTTTGCAACTCAAGGTCCTGGGCACCTTGCATTCATTGAGTCGACCATGAACCCCTCTGTATACCAAAGTATTCTAGAGGCAAATGTGAGGCCATCTGTCTGAGAGCTAAAGACTGGCTAAAACCGGGTCGTGAAAATGGCCAGTGATCCCAAGCACATGAGCAAACCTACAACAGAATAGCTGAAAAAGAAAACAAAGGGTTGCAATGGCCCAGACCTCAATCCCACTGAAATGTTGTGGCAGAACCTTAAGAGATCTGTGCACAAACAATTCCCCACAAACCTCAATGAACTGAAGCAACATTGTAAAGAAGTGTGGGCCAAAATTCCTTCACAATGATGTGAGAGACTGATGAAGTCACAGAAAATTACTTCAAGTTATTGCTGCTGAAGGTGGTTCTACAAGCCATTGAATCAAAAAGTATAGTTAGTTTTCCACACATGACTTCTCCATTTTGGCTTTAATTTTGTAAAATAAATTGTCGTTCTTCAGTTGTATTAAATTAAATTAAATTAAAATAAAAAGAAAATTTTCATTAATCCACCATTCAAAAGCAGTAATCTTCAGGTTCTCAGAAGCTGGTAAGAAGCTAGAATTTCCTCCTCCCCTGCTGTTGTCTTTTGGAAATCCTCTCCCTTGAAGATCCTATTTATAGTTATGAAAAGTTGTCATTGGTACAAATGGAGGATTTCCTCCCAAATGTCCATTTTAAAGGGCAGATTTTTCCATGGGTGACAGAAGGGGAAGAAATTATTTTGCTACGCAGCTCCTGCAATATGAATAATCATTTGGATTCCCTGCACCACAGGTGACCATGCAGACTTTCAAAATGCAAAGAAACATCTATGGACTCATCCCATTTGGCTTCAAGAGTAGCCTCTCTTGCCCTAGTGGAGGAGCATGCTGCAATTTGTATCATCAGAATCCATGATTATTCCATGGGCTAATCTGATATAACCATGCTGCCTTATGTCACAAGACAGGTAGAGGCTGAACAACACAACTAACTGCCTTTTGAAGATGAAACAGATGTTGATATAACAATGTAGTAGTTCTTTTTCCTATTAAACCTAGAAGGTAAAACTCTGCTTTATTAGTGTCAGTGTTTCATAACGCTCTACGTTACTTCATTTAAATAGTCCCCAGTCCCTTTACAAGAAACTAAGACTATTTTAATTTAGCACTAACTTGATGGTGATCATTTTTCTTTCTCTGTCTTTGCAGTCAAGTTTCTTCATTTCTAGGATGTTCAAAGCCCACTGGAATTTTTCTGAATTAATAAACAGCAAAGGTTGTTGAACTCTGGGATATACATCATCAGAGAGGGGCAACATCCATGCATCAAGGGCAATGCCGCACCTGTACAGAAACGAGGAGTGAGTGACAAGTTTCAAGTATATTTTGGATGAGACTTTTCCTTGAAGCTGAAGCAGTCAAGAGAAATTTCCTAATGATAAGAGTTGTTTGGCAGTGAAGAAAACTGCCCTGGAAATGAAGATTAAAATTCCTTCACTCCATGCATAAAAGGAGAGGGTGGTTGGTGATCTGTCATGAATGATTATTTATTAAATTGTTCATTTTAACAATAATAGCCTATTCTATGTCCAAGAATCCCAGGAAAGCATACAAGTGATAAAAAAAATACCATCACCATAAAACAATATAGAATAGCAATTTAGAGTCGTTGAAACAATTTAAATAGTTTAGATCAATTAAAAACTGTGTGCACTGTATAGAATGAAACCTAAACAAACTGATCACTAGGCCTGAAAAGCTTTGATGAACAGAGCTTGGTTCATTATTTAACACTTAGTGAATTATTAAACAGCAAGGAGACTACACAAGGCGTCTTCATGGCCACAAATGATGTTTAGAATGTTATTTCCCACCAGAGATCACAGAACTGGTAGCATATTTAATGCCTGTTCTGACTTTTGTGTTGACCAGTTAAGAAAATGCTGCCTTAAGTACGTAAACACTTTATTCATTAATGAGCACCAGATTTCAAATAACCCTTTCAGACAATACATTTCACCAGCACTTTTCAAAGAAGGAAATACAGAACAAGACTAAAGTTGACAGGATCTTCTCAGAACCACATGGCTGAGCAAATAGTAATTGAGCCCATGGTTTAAACCAGTGGTTCTTAACCTTTGTTACTCGGATGCTTTTGAACTGCAACTCCCAGAAAACCCAGTCAGGACAGCTGATGGTGAAGGCTTCTGGGAGTTGCAGTCCAAAACTCCTGAGTAACCCAAGGTTAAGAACCAGTGGTTTAAACAACATGATTTTAAAGCTATACATTTGAGAAATGTTGTGCCAAGACAGGTATCTTTTACTGCTTATGAAAGCACCACTACTAAATATGAACTAAACATCTTATATACTCTGACCCTTAGTAGATCCTTAGTCACAGTACTAAAAGTATTTTCTCACACATTTCTAATTTTGTAGGTACGGTATAGAGATTTAAATACATAAAGAACCCTCTTCAGACTTAAAATCTAATAGACTCTTAAAGGAAAAGGGAATGGAGAAGGAAGAGGACAGTTGTCAAAACCAATTCTTAAAGGTACACAATGATTTTACACATATTTTACTAGAGAATATGGTGCAGTTGAGGTGGTCCCTTTGTCACCAACTTCGTTTTTATTACTAGATTCCCTTCCATCTGGACTCGTATGAACAATTTTGGAGATGGGCCAAAGCTCAGGTATTAAAAGCAGAGAAAAACAAAAAGAAGGAAAACATCATAATATATGCTTAGGCAATAACTCTTACTTAAATCGCATATCTTTGCTAAGAGTCTCAATGGCTGTAGCACCACCGAAAGAGTGTCCCATCACTGCTATCTTCTCCATGTCAATACAGTCCTGAAAAGAAAGGAAGTATATGTACCACTGACCGTTCAGTTTAACATTATTGCTGCACAAAAGCAACCAAGCAAATCACCATTCAATAAAGTTACTCAAAAAATGGGGAGACCCCAAACAAATAAAAAAAATTTAACTGAATCTTGTATCAGCACCAAATTTGGCACATAGGTAGAGACATTCTACTCTTGCTCTGTGCCAATTACAGAGATGTTTCGGCAAATGGTGTTTGAGTTATGATTTTTAGAAGTAAAACTGTTTGCCCTGCAGACTCTAGCAACATTTTCATGCCAACAATCACACTTGCTGAAAAACAGCCCTGATAATTGCTGTGATTGGGTGAAAAGTCGGTAACTGATGAAAAAAGGAGTCCGTTTCTGGTATGTCCCTTTGCATGGTGTCACTGTGTGAATGGTGGTGAGCAGAAGAGAGTGTCCTGTAGATCTTCTTGACTATTGTCATTGGTGTTGTCAACATCCAGTCTGCTTTTTGCTATGTAAAGCTTGGCATCCTTTTTCCTGCTGGCAACATGGACATGCTATTGTGCAACAATATCAGGCCATTTCCTTGCTTTCTGAATCATGGATACAGAAGTATAATATCCTACATTCATAAACTGGAGATTTTTAAAAATTGAATTAATACCTTAATACCTACTAAATTTTAAAATCGTCAAAGACATTCAATCCATATTCTAATAGTGACTGTAGGGTACCTCGATTTAAAAGGCCAGTGGTGTAACTGTGCCCCAAAGTTCTTTTTGTAAGGTTATGTACCAAATATGCCCATTGCTAAAAGATAGAGACACAATCACTACTGTTCATTTTCTTTATCAGTAATTTCCTTTACCTTTAAAAAGATCCAGTTAAAGTTCGCAGGAAGCATGTTAACTGTTGGTTTTCCTGAATTAATGTGAAGCATGAGGTCAAGAGCTTTAATACACTCATCTGCTCTTTGCTGTACCTACAAAAAGAAGAGACATCAATCGCTATGCTTTTAGCTGAGACAAGTCACCAGGCTCTTGTTTTGGCAGTTAGAGCTTTTTGTTTATACACTTTTCTAAAAGACAAAATTCTCACAGCGTGTTACACAACAAAACAGGTTAAAAACTCAACATAATCAAGTATATAATATGGCAATAGGTTCTGACAATTTGAAATCAATAATTTTGGATAACTTTGGATGTTGCAGTTCTAAACAACGATGATATGGTTCAAACCAGTCTCCAAGGTTTCTCAGCTAATCAGTTATTCTTCCTGTACTTCTTTAACTAGCTGTTAATAATAAATCCATAACAACAATCAAGACAAAAATATCTTTGATACTAGAAAGATATCTGATGACTTCAAATTGTGGGCACTCAGGCACTGCAATGCAAACCTCCTGGGAGAGGAGGGATACTACAAACTACATAATGGGATACTACAAACCAGGATGATGAATAGTAGTGGTGCGACTTGAAGATGTGGCTTCAAGTCCCAGCCTGCCAAGAAATGCACCCAATGACCTTGGTCAATCACAGTCTCTAACTCTGATACAGTGGTGCCTTGACTTACGACCATAATCCGTTCCAGAAGATGGACTTAACTCGAAATGGTTGTAAATCGAAGCACCATTTTTCATAGGAATGCACTGGAACAGGATTAATCCATTCCATTCCCCCCCCCAAATAAAATCACCAAAAACCAAAAACAAACCACAGTCAGCCCCATCACAATGCGAGGGGCTGGAAAACAAAGGCAAACACACACACTCCACATTCAGCCCCATTGGAAAACACAAAAACACCCCCCATACACAGAGCACAGAAACATAACCCCCCAAAACCCAAACCCACAATGCAAAACAAAGTAAATGTACTTACTCATGAGCAGAAAGCAGCACCAGGCAGTCCGAAGCCTCCTCCAACGCACACACTATAGCCGTTGGGGCGAAAGAGCTACAAAGAAGCTCTTTGCCGACCAACGGGTAGCCCTCTAATGTGAATTCCCCACCTTTTTTCCCTGCCTCTATTCTGTTTGCAACTTGAAGATCCGGTCACAAGGAAGCAAAATTTTGTGGCCGGAGCTGGTCGCAACTTGAAATGGCCATATATCGGGACAATCGTAAGTTGAGGCACCACTGTATAAGGTTGTAAGAATGAAATGAAGAAGAGAAGAGCTCACGGGATGAAAGAGGACATATAAAAGTAATGAATCAGTAACTAATGAATCTTATCTGGACCCATGGAAAGGAATCCTTAGAAAAAATCCACAAATATTTCAATAACTTTCACCTGAAGATCAACCTCGCCCTGGAACAATATATACAACAGGTGCATTTTCTGAACCCCACTATAAAACTACAAAATGGACATCTCATCACCATGCTGTACCAGAAACCCACTGATTGCATGCTTCCAGCTCCCATCCTGAATACGCAACAAAATGCATCAGATATAATTGCATCTGCTCACACCCACAAGATAGAGACAAGATAGAGATTCAAGGATTTACAAAATGCTTTCCTCAGACCACCATGCCCATCCAGGAGCATATTAATAAAGCAAGACGGAAACCCAGAAACAACCTACTGCAGGATACACCCAGAAGGGAAAATAATCAAACACCAGTTGTCACTTTCAGTCTGCAGCTGAGACCACTCACACAGATCATACATGATCTCCAACCCATCCTCAAGAAAATTCACTCTCCCAAGCCCTTGGTGGCAGACCCATACTGGCTTACAGACAACCCTGCAACCTCAAGCAATTACTGACACACAATGAACTATACAACGCTGACACAGAATTGGGAACAAATCCCTGCTACAAACCCAGAGGCCAGCTCTGCCCCCACATTTATTTGGGCAACACAATTACTGGACCTAACAATGTCACACACAATATCAAAGGCACTTTTACCTGTTCCTCTACCAATATTATTTACGCCAGTTTTTGCCAACAATGCCCATCTGCACTCTACATAGGACAAAAGGGACAATCTCTATGCAAATAAATCAATGGACATAAATCAGACATCGGAATGGCAACACACAGAAACTCTTTTCGCATCATTTTAATTTACCAGGAAATTCCACAGATGATTTGAAAGTGCTCCCTCGCTCACAAACCTGTTGTCGACGTAGCTCAACTTCATCTTCATCTGCTCTTAATCTCCGATAATAGATCCACTCTGTGTGTAACTCTGAAGCATTGCCTTTTCCTCTGAAATCAGGTTTCTCTTTGTAGTAGAAAGTAGCTGAAGAGGACTGATCTCTAATACAAAATAAAATGCTGGTCAGGCTTCTATTTTGAGACAGCTATGCGCCTTTTCCCTTCAAAGGCCACATGTCACCTATATTTTAATATAGAAAAATGACAACAACTAACTTCTGTATTAAAACTAATTCACAATCCCAAGTTCATAATAGAGTACTGAAGAAACTATATGAAGAATGGTAAACATTATTACAAACATCACTATAACCATTTTGTTATTAATTTTTGATTATAGAAAGTAAATATTTTTGCTTCTTCTATAATATTCTTATAGACTCAATTTACAATAATTACATGGCATTAAAGATGTGGGAGTCAGATTTGAACCCAGCAACATATCATTGCACCCAGCAACATAAACTTAAAATTTGAAATTAAATTTAAAAATTCCTAACCCCCTTTAATTTGGTTGCCCTAAATTGGAGGCAACTTGACAGCATGTAACAACAACAGCTCAATCCCCCCCCTTCAGACCCCGAGGCTCTCCAGGGTCCTGACCCAATGGTGGGACTGGCGGTGGTGATTTTCCAGTCCTAAAGCCTTTTGACCCCCCATCCTGAGGTTCCCAAAGCTTCCCTAGGGCTAAAGAGATCCCTACAGAACCCCAGAACCTGAAGGAAGGGGAGATTAGGAAGTTTTGAATTTAATTAACTTAAAATTTTCAATTGCCAGGTGATGACATCACATTTTTTTGTGGCACAATTACACGAACTGAACTTCAGCCCCAACATTGAAAGTAATTAGCTTAGGCTAGCGAGTCTTTCTTATTTTTCTTGTTGTGGGTATTCCTGAACTATTTTAGTAATGTGGTTTATTTCTTATTTTTCAAAGGCATCTCTTCTCTTTATCATTTTCCTATTATTTCAATAATATAGAAATCTTCTCCATGTTTGGTGTCCTTATTGAGAGTATGGGTTGGAAGGTTGCTCCTAAATTTGGTCTTTTCTTCTCATCAGCTATGGAGTTGAGCAGTTAAGTGCTGCCACCCTGCAGGGCTACTTTTCGGCTCTGAGGGTGCAGAATTCTGGAGATTACTGACTCTAGGACTGCGGCCAGTAATAAACGAGGGGCAAACACAAATGCAAGGCAATAACTAGGGAACTCAGGGTACTTTAAGCTTATACAGACCTTGGGGATGACAACATCTTTACATCTGTCTAACACTTCCATGGTTCTGATGTGTAGGAGATGTTTTGGGCTTTAAAGGTGAGGGTCAGTTGCCAATCTCTTTCTTCTTTGGTATCAGTGAGTCTTCCTGATAATATGTATTAATTGCAATTTCCTTTTCCTCATATAGTGCATCTTTTTAATGTGCCCCCTCCCCATTTTTAAGCTCGAGAATACCAGATTAAACATATGAGATCACTGTGGGGTACCCCATGGGTGTCCAGGGCTATTTGCTCTGCCCTGTGACAGGGCACTCTGACACTTATGCATCTGTCTGAAATAAATTATTACAGTGATCAATCTCAGATCTGTTTTCAGATTCTAGTCCACCTGGGAACTCTATCCTGCTGGTATTTGCCACTGCAAATTGGATCTGTCACCAGAAATATTTAATTTAAATGCATGGAAAGCTGCCTCTATCCCCCCTCTTTCGGGGTCCAAGTCTCCCTAGGCTCCCCTCGTGCCACTGGGAGCAACAGAATGGGAGGAGCCTTTTATTAGTTCAAAATTGTTGCCAGATGCTGGTGATAGTTCTGATACCAGCCGTGGCAATCTGGCAGCAATTTTTGACTATTAAAGGCTTCCCCTCCTGGCTTCAGAACTTGAAAAAGGAGGATAAGAAGCTTTCAGTTCATTTAAGATTCCCAGTGCCAGATTCAATTTATGCCAGTGTACATTTATGTAACATGATTTTGCCCAACATGCCATACTGTATAAAAATTTCATGTTTATATATGTAAGAAATATATGGGGCATACATACCTATGCTCAACAGCAGCAACAACAAAACCTTGAGATGCCATTTCAATGCAAATTGCAGAATATATAGTTCTGTTAATATAAGCATAGAAAATTAACTGTAGGATTTAAATCCTGGCAGATTCTTAAGCACTGTGCATGCTACATCTGGAGTACTATTGTTATGATAATATTATTAATGTTGCTTGCTGTCACTGTTATTTAGAAAACCCTTCAAAGGTTCCTGGATGCTGTGCAAAGTCTGGAGAACAACAGCCCCTACCCTACAGAAGAAGTAAGATGGAGGAAACAAGAAAATAAATCCAGGCATCAGTTCTCCAACTGTTGTTTGCAATATTATCCAGAGTTGTCATTCTCCTATTGCAGATTGGGTTGGGAGGTGAGATTGAAAACTAGATTTTCAGATCCAGTTTTCTCACATTGCTTCATGTCTTATCAACAGAGGTCTATGAGTTTTCTGCAGCTCAGTGCTATTACCCTCCAACAGCTTAGGACAAGCTGGGGAAAACACATGGCAGAGGACTCTCCACTGTCAGTTATGGAAAAGATAACAAGGGCATCGTCTCTAAAAGGATTTGATCTAGAACTCACTGGGCTCTTACAGCTCCCTAGAAATCTGTACTCCATACATAAATGCCACATTGGCTGAAGTATTTTTCTGCAGTTGGACAAAATATGCAAGATTTTAAAGTGAACTGCTGCAAGTTTAGAAATCTCCATAGGCGCTGTCTGTCACATAGTGAGTTGTTTGACTCGGTATGCAATAGTACAGTGTCTACGGAGATTCCTTGACTTACAGCAATTCACTTCCAAAAATTATGCTTTTTGCCTAAATGTGCAATAGGATTTCAACCATAATATTTTCACCCTTTTTTTCCTACGAAAACACTGGCAAAGTTTCATCCTCTTCATACCCATTGCAGTGTTTCCCAACACACTGCAAAGGGGGCGTGACAGCATGAAGAAAGAGAGAGAGATGGAGCCAAAGTCATAGCTATGCATAACTTTCAGTACTGCACTGTGCATCTAAGTCCAGCTATGTCCAAGATGCATTTTGGGGAACAGAATGACAGCTAGCCTGACTGGTAGTATGCTGGCTATGCTCCTAAAAAGGAAAAGAAAGAGCCACCTAATAAGCTTAATGAGGCAAAACCAGTGGGCCGGGTTACTGAAATTGGCACTGATGATGCAACTCATTTAGCTATCTGTAGCTTGCATGTACATTACTTCAGCACTATACCTGAATTTGGGGTTGGGGGAGCTATTCTATTACAGTATATCTATACAGTGGTGCCTCGCTTAACGATGTTAATTGGTTCCATAAAAAAATCATTATGTCAAAACATCGTTAAGTGAAACACCATTTCCCATAGGAATGCATTGAAAACCGGTTAATCTGTTCCATTTGGAACAGATTAATGCTTGCAATAATTAGCCCACCTCCTGAAACCTATGCAGACTTAATTTGGTGTTGTTCTGAGTCGTCGTTAATTTTTGGTGATTTTTTTTCTCTCTCATTGAAAAGCATTGGACCGTTCGTCCAATGCTTTTCAATGAGAGAGAGAAAAAATCACCAAAAATGAACGAAGACTCAGAACAACACCAAATTAAATTTGCATAGGTTTCAGGAGGTGGGCTAATGATTGCAAGCATTTAAAACAGGTTTCTAACAGTTTAAGACACTTTTACAGGAGCGAAAAAGGGACATCGTTAAGTGAAATTCCCCCATAGAGAACATCGTTAAACGATGGGGGAAATTCCTCAAAGAAACCCATTGCTGTGTGAATTCATCGTTGTATGAAGCAATCGTTGTGCGAGGCACCACTGTACAGTATATGTATAATATGCAAGGTAGCTCATAATTTCATTTTCTTAGACAAAAGAATAAGGATGAAAAATTGTGAATAACTCAAAACTCAGTGAGATTCTTCATTAAATTGTGGTCTAAGCCCCAAGCCTCTTCACTCTGAAGTCAGTGCTGATGAATGTCATATCCTTTATTTATTTATTTAAAATATTTTTACTCCACCTTTTTCCTTAAGAAGGACACAAGGGGGCTTACATAATTAAAAACATAATATTTTAAAACTAAAAACAGTAAGTATACAAACATTTCAAAAGAATTAAACAAAATATTATACCAAAAAACTAATGAAAATCAATACTAAAAACACACTTAAAAGCAACAGAGCACAACAAATTACTTAAAAAAATGAAACTTTCATACAGCCAGTCACTAAGGGAAAGCCTGCCTGAAGAGAAAGGTCTTTGCTTGCTTGTGGAAGGAGAGCAGAGATGGGGCCAGCCTGGCCTTTTGTCTTTTGTGGGAGGGAGTTCCAGAGTCAGAAGAAGCGACAGAGAAAGCAATCTCTTGTGTTCCTACCAAATGCATATGCAAGGGTGGTGGGATTGAGAGAAAAGCCTCTCCTAATGATCTTAACACTCAAGCTGGCTTATAATGGGAGACACAGTCTTTGAGATAGCTTGGACCAGGTCATTTAGGTCTTTATAGATTAAAACAAGCATTTTGAACTGTGCCCAGAATCAGACTGGCAGTCAGTGGAGCTGCTGTATGTAACAGGCAGGTTATGTGACGCCTATAATCCAGCCCCAGTTATCAATCTGAGTGCAGTGTTTTGAACAAGCTAAAGTTTCAGAATATTTTCCAAAGGCAGCCCCAAATACAGTGCATTACAGTAATCCAACCAGGATGTAACTAAGTCATGTGTCACTGTGGCTAGATCCAGCCACTCAAAAAACTGGCACAGTTGGCACACTAGTTTTAACTGTTCACATGCAGTCTTGGCCACTGCTGATACCTGGGCATCCGGGCTAAAAAAGGAATCTAGGACAGAATAGTATGCCTATAATTTTTTAAAAAGCAGCTCAGTCTGCTATGATTGTGTAGTATATAGGGTTACTTACCCAAAAGCTCCAAGTCTCTTAATTTTGAGAAATATTACTGATACTTATTTCTTACTAATACTTATGCACACCAAAGCCTTTCTTAAAGGCTAGTGGTTTCAAGAATGATGTTTTCTCTAGGTACATGAAGGCAGTTAGGTACAGTATCATGGATTTTTTTTTCATTTTATCAAAGATACACTGAAATTCAATATTACCTGAAAGCTCCAAGTCCATGAGAAAAAATAATGAGGGGGTATTTTTCCCCTGGCTTGAATGCAGCATTCCATTTTGCAGGACAGGTCACTGAACCTGCACAGAACAGAACACCTGGTTGATACCTTTTCTGATTTTAAGCCATTAAGATCGATTTGTATGCCCTCCTGACAATGGCTTTGCAGCCCTGGAATAACACTCTCTCATTTTCAATTCAGACAGACCTTCATTAGATCTATGCATATTCCAAGCTTCTGGTAACCGTCTGTCTGTCCCAAGATTCCACATTCAGAGCTCTGCTCTGTACAGTGGTGCCTGGCTTAATGAGCACCTCAGTTAACGACGAATCCGCATAGCGACAGATTTTTTGTGATCGCAAAAGCGATCACATTGCGATGTTTTTAATGGTAAAACAACGCTCTGCTATGATCCTAAGCTGTTTTGCTTACCGATTTTCGCATAGCGACGAATCTGGATAGCGACGATTTTTCTGGAACGGATTATCATCGCTATGTGGGGCACCACTGCAGTTGTAAAAGTGAAGAAGCTATTCCCCCAGGTTTAGGCGTGGGGTAGGAAAACAATAGTTTTGAGGGTGTGGTACTTGTATTAGTAGAAGTCCACAGGAGTGGTTTCTTTCTTTTTTCAAAACTTGTTCTGTTGTGACCTGACATGATCCAAGTATTTGAGTGTGGGATCTTATTCAGTACAGTATTTGCTTAAGCATACTGAAAGCAGCTTTCATAAAGTCTAGAATATAAAGTTTACACTCATTTTTCTTTTCTTTTCTTAGTATATTGAATCCCAAGAGGACATGGTAACCTCCATTCAATGTTTTCCCCTGTTTCTACATCATTACACATCATTCCCTGTTGATGAGAATCTAGTCCAAAACATTGGATTCCCTTGTCACTTTTTCTATCCTCTGGAAAATGAAATTTGCAGCAAGGCAGGTAAGGAATTTATTAAAAATTAGATTCTTACTGGAGTTTGATCTAGTTACTCAGTGTAATGTAGTAGAAAGAGTGGCAGACTACGACTCAGGAGACCTGGGTTTGAATCTCCGCTCAGCCATGGAAATTCAGTGGGGTAAGATTACTCATTAAGTATCTCAATTGTCTTGAAAGCTGTAAGTCAGTTTGCTGTAAGTTAGTTCCAACTAGATAGTAAATAGCAACAACATGATGTAGGATGGCATCATCCAAGTCTGCAGTCTAGCTTGGAGATCCATAGCAATCCTTTCCCCATGATGTTTCCTATAATTTTTACCCAAATTTTCTCAACCAGCCTTCTGTGTTCCAAACCGTGGACCTCTTCACAGATGCAAACATGTTATATATACAGTAGTGCCTCGCTTAACGAGGAAATCGCTTAACGAGGAAATCGCTTGATGATTAGGTTTTTGCAATCGCAAAAGCGATCGCAAAACAATGGTTTAAATGGGAAAAATCCGCTTCACGATGATCGGTTCCCTGCCTCTGGAACTGATTTTCGCATTACGACGGCATAAAAACAGCTGATCGTTGGGTTTCAAAATGGCCACTGGGTGTACAAAATGCCCCCCGCTGTTTTCTAGGACTAATTCCTCACTTTACAGGCAGCGAAAATGGCTGCCCCTATGGAGGATCTTTGCTGGACAGTGAGTTTTCAGCCCATTGGAACACATTGAAGGGTTTTCAATGCATTTCAAGGGGCTTTTTTATTTCGCTTAATGAGGATTTCGTTCTACAGCGATTTCACTGGAACAGATTATCCTCGTTAAGCGAGGCACCACTGTATATAGTTCCGCTTTTCATTAAGTCAAAAATTTCAAGCTTTCTATGCTTTGTTTCTTCCACCAATCCTGTATTTATCCCCATTTACCCTTCCTGTTCATGAGCGTGCACAAATTATTAATAATCATACAGTATCAATTTGATGCTGGGTACCATTAAAAACTAGCTCAAAATAGAAGGTCTTTCACAACTCCTCTCAAGATAAGCAGTTTCAGATTTTGGCTAGTCTTTAAAGAGCACACACTCCAAAACTGAAACATCTCTGCATGTTCTGGTTGTATGATTTTTGATAGTAGCAAAATCCCACAACAATGCAAGAGGACAGTTACATGAGCTTGGAAATATACTGGTTTCTGGCTTCCTAAAACAAGTCCAGATGATCTGTGAAGAACTGTGTCATTAGGAATTTTTTGGATTCTCCATTCTGGGAGTTTCACCTGAAAGACCCACTCCTACAAATACCTAAATTTCATTCACACAGAGAAAGGCCAAGCTCCAAGGCTCAATGGCATAACCTTCCTGCTAAAGAGAGAGGCTGCCCCAGTTCTAGCTGGGAGACTTTCATATAGCACTGGTGAAGTTTCCTTTTTTAAAAAAAAACCAGGAAACTAGGCCAGGGACAAACCACGAAATTTTGTGGTTTGGCCCTGGCCTAGTTTCCTTTATCCAGGTGAGTAAAATTTAGTAGGTGTGGGTATGTCAGGTGAAACTCTCAGAATGGATTCTGGGAGTTGGAATCCTAAAAAATCCAAATGGGACATCTTTAATAGTTTTGTATCCTTTTATATTATGTGCTTGAAGCACCGCTGTCAAATTTGAAGAACATTTTATTCTTTACAGCTTAAGAGTACCAAAATCTGATTCTCTCTTGTTCTATCCAGAAAGGTTGGAAAATCTTACAATAAACAATGAGTCTAAAAAAACAAGACCTAAATTTCAGTTCTCCATAATCAGTTCTCCAAAATTATATTGGTATACACCACAACCATATGTTAACCTGAGAGCTGAGAATTAAAATGCAATTTCTGCAAAAGACTATTTTTCCCACTGTGGTTGATTAGATTATTAACTTCCTCCTAAACTTACCAATATAGCATGCAAAAATGAACTCTCCTAATGTGCGATATATGTTAAGAAAATCAGACAATCCACGATAATATTCCTTGTTAGGAATCCAAAGTGTTTCTTCATTATTTGTATCATTTTCGGAAGGGTAATACAGGCGCAAAAAAGATCCCTACGATTGAATAACTGAATTAGTTAATGAAGTACATTTTCAAAATGCTTAAATGAGGAACACATGATATAGGAAGTCACAAATACTCTAATTTAACTCCAAACATCTTTTTAAAAATATATGTTCCAGAATTCCCAAGTATAACATTTATTTACTATAAAAGTGACTAGAAACTTATCCTTTCATATGGAAAAAAAATCAAGTTTCTTATAATGAAAGTGTTTTTTGTTACTCTTAGCTCAACTTCTACACCAGATATTTTCTGGGCTCTTCTACATAATCTACAGAATGAAGTAGCAAAGCTTTTTCTGCACATTTCATATTCAAGCTGTGGGTGGAACTACAAATTTAAAAATTCTAAACCCACTATGTGCATAAGCCAAAGTGAAGGTATTTTGGATTCTGTACAAGAGCACCAAGGAGAAGAGCTGTAATCTATCTCCATCTCTAAATGTTACTATATAGCCATGAGACTAGCTGTACAGTATTAATACCACTTCTTCCCTTTAACATTATACTATCATATTGCTCAAACATTTTATTTTCATACTAACAAGGCAACTGGCCTTATTTGCCTGAAGTCTGTCACAGAGACTCTATCTAGTTACAGGGCTGTCCATTTGCTTTTGTAATGAACAGAAGGAAAAATGGGTCACTCATTTATTTAATTTGTTGGTTACACATGAGAGCAAAATGAATCATTTCAGAATAGAAATCTATGGGCTTGTTTCATTATTTGTTGCTTAGTAAAAGCCTAATAACTTTAAAGGTGCAAAGAAGAGAAAATAGAAATAGAATATAATTTTGCTCTATTTATTTAAATAACAGAGCAGGCATTTTTGGCCCGTCTGTAATTTCTGTTTTCAATTAAATAAGCATGACATTTTTAGACATTAATCTTCTCATATCCATTTGTAAACTTTCAGAGGAAAGGGTATGTATGTTTTGTAGGCAATTAATTTAAGGTGCTCTGAGATACTAGAAGTAACTACTAAAAGATTTCTTAGGCTCTGTAAGTAGTAAAAAAAAAAGGATAATGACACTACTGAAATTTGGAAAAACTATAGTTTGTTAAATTTTAAAGAATCCTGTTCAACCACTCTAAGAGAATCATATGCTATAATAAAACTGTTAGCTCTTTCCCACCAATCCTACCTTATCCTTTACCTCTTTAAATTACTGTGAGATTTTCTGAGACAAAATTTAAATGGATGCCTTGATGATTTACTGCAAAAGCTGTAATTTGCACTGAACATGAGAGATGCCAGACAATAAGTATCTTTCCCTCAAAAATATTTCCGTGTTTTCTTAGTGCCCTCAGTTTCATCTCCCCTACAAACTAAAGGGGAGGAACAATATTACTGAAATATCACAGTCTGGATACATTGAGCTGGTACAAGCAAGGATAGTATAATGTTCATAGTCATTTAAAGCAGGGATTCCCAACCTCCGGTCCACAGCCCAGTGCTGGTCCGTGGTCATGGCAGGACCAGTCCGCGGAGACAGATATCCTGCTCCCCGCATGCACTCCCTCCACTCACCCCACCCGCACGCATGGCCCGCTACCCGCATGCACAGGTGCCCTGCCCACCCACAAGCATGCCCCTTCCCTCTGTGAGCGCGCCCTGCCCCTTCATGCATGCGAGCAAGTGTGCACCTCCCCTCTGTGCATGTGCACTAGCGCATTCTTCCCCTTCACACATGCTCGCAAGCACAGCCCACCCCTCTGCGAGCACGCCCCACACTCCCCAAGCACGGGGGGAGCGCCCCACCCCTACGAATAGACCCTACTACTCCAACTGGTGTGCAACTCAGGAAAGATTGGGGACCACTGCTTTAAAGAACAGCAAAAAGAATAAATGGAGTTTCATAGTCTATAGTGCATACAAGACTTACGTTTCTCATTTATTCACTCATTTTTTGTTGTGGGTTTTTGGGGCTGTTTGGCCGTGTTCCAGAGGTTTTTCTTCCTTATGGCCAAACAACCCAAAAAACCCACAACAACCATCAGATCTCAGCTGTGAAAGCCTTAAAGAACACATATTCACTCATTTATTTAGTTATTTAAAATATTTAACCTGCCTTTCTCCTTAAAAAAAGACCCAAGGTAGCTTACATTAAAAGACGGTCTCTAAAGCTAGCTATAGTGAGTATACAAACACTAAAAAGGACCAAACAAATACCATATTAAAAAATGGTAAACAAAAGCAACACAAAAACACATTCAAAGCAGTAAGGTACAGCAATCCATTTTAAAATCCCACGCAGGCAGGCAGTCCACTCAGGGAAAGTTTTCCTGAAGGGAAAAGCCTTTGCCTGTTTGTGGAAAGATAGCAAAGATGGAGCCAGCCTGGCATCCTGTGGGAGGGAGTTCCACAGTCTAGGAGCAGCAACAGAGAAGGCTCTCTCCTGTGTCCCATCAGACACACTTGTGAAGGTGGCAGGACCAAGGGAAAGGCCTCTCCTGATGATCTTAACACACGAGCAGGCTCATAAAGGGAGGTGGGGTCCTTGGGATAGCTTGGACCCAAGCTGTTTAGGGCTTTATGGGTTAGAACCAGCACTTTAAATTGTTTTTTTTTTTTTTGGACCTATATACCGCCCCATAGCGCTACAAGCACTCTCCGGGCGGTTTACAATTTAATTATACAGGCTACACATTGTCCAATTAGAGAAAACACAGTCCTCCAAAACATGAATTTTTCCCAGCTCTGCTTGAGGGCTGCTTTTACATCATCAGCTTTCCCAAAAGCTTTGGAACCTGGAAAGATATAAATCTGCTAAACGAATAAGCGTGAAATATTCTTCATAGGACAGTCATCTAACAGAACAATGAGGCTTAAGCTATTTGTAAGGGGTCAGTCATTAAGGAAGCAGCTGTTTGCTCTGAACAATGTTTTGTCTGCATTCTTTTGTGTTGGTTTGTACACTATGTCTTCATAGCTTGATCTCTTGAAGAAGGATCTCTTTAATGTCCACTGAATACTGATTAGTAGAAATGGGGGTATTTGTATTCGAATATCCCCGCACAGGTGGCATTATTGAGAGTCCAGCCACATGGGGGCCAGATGGTCCACTCACCAATCCACCGCCCTTGCAGATGGCGCGGTTCTATGAATGGTGCCGCAGCGTGCGATCCACTCACTACTCCTGGCAGGAGGCGGTAGGACAAGCCTCGCTGCAAGGTCGAAAAGTGGCGAGCAGATTGCACGCTGTGCCACCATTTGTAGAATCACACCGTCCGCATCCACGGCAGATCGGTGAGTGGACTATCTGGCCCCATGGGGCTGGACCCTTCTTAACGCCACCTCTGCAGGGATATTCGTATTCGTATACAAATACCCCCATCTCTACTGGTTACCCAAACTAGTGTAAGGACAGACATTATTGCAGTGTGAAAAATTCTCTGCATGTGAGAATATTCTAGTATTTACACTATTAATACACCTTCCAGTTTTTTCCCTTCACTTCAGGTAGATTCTGTACCTCACAGATAAACTCAGGTATGGACTGTACCAACGCAAGTTCTCACACAGACTTTCCATAGTTCCTTCACATAGAAAATCTGACATCAAGAAGAGTTCTTGTCTAGACAAAACATTTTTAATAGAGAAAGGTACTTGCTGGGGGCCCTCAACTATAGTTCAAACCTATAGAGCAGTAGTCCCCAACCTTGGGTCTCTAGATGTTCTTGAACTACAACTCCCAGAAGCCTTCACCACCACCTCTGCTGGCTAGGATTTCTGGGATTTGAAGTCCAAGAACATCTGGAGGCCCAAGGTTGGGGACCACTGCTATAGAGCCAAGGCATAGGTTTAAAACACCAGTTTGCCTTTGCTTCATTTTGCAGAAGTGACTGTTTAATTTTCTTTAAATTCCATCCTTCCTTGTATGCACTTTTTTTTGTTTTTGACCAGAGTGTGGCAGTAGTTACAAGCCATACATTCATATACTTTGTATTTAATTGGTAGGCTAAAATATTAAGCATCTGGTTGTTTGCAAACTCAGGGACATGTAAAGGTTGTCCTGACCTGACCTGTTATTAGCTCTGGCTTAACTCTCTGAAATCAAAACATAGCACTAGACAGCATGCCAGGCTACACAATTTCTAAATACTTTCAAGAAATCTAACATAATACGTTTTATTTTCTGCTTTGGATTTGTTTTGTTTTCTGGAACCCGTGTTGCATGTCTTTTAATATAAAATCAGGCTTAATATCAATAACAACAAATGATTTTTTTAAAAAAATACCTGAATACTATGACCAGTCATGAGGTCTGTACATCCAACAGGATAAGGACCTTTCCCTGCTGGGATTCTCTTAGAGTTACTTCCCATTTCCTTGAACTCCAATAGACAGATCTGAAAAGCAAGTAAAGAAATAAAATTATTGTTATGATCTGAAGGGACATGATGCAGAAAACTTGGGTGACTTAGCAAATTTGGTTAAAGGAAGGATAAGAATGAACACAGGGATTCTGTGTTTGCTGTCTTTACTTCACTGGAGAAATTGTAGGTTTTAAATTCAACACATCATCATTAAACAATGGTCATTTGCTAATAGCTGATAAGCTGCTTCCTGAAAGCGAGAAATCAGGGATTCTGCAAACATGTCACCTCATCCACAAATTTTTAGGACTTGATTAGACATGGGGACGAAAAAAAAAACAGATTGCAATATTTGTAAGAAATCGCTGATTCATGAAATATTCATCTCAGAGTGGACTTCGGCCTACATGGGTGGGGTATCAATAAATAAATTCTTTGAAATAGCATCCACAGCTGTTGTGCTATTTTAACGATAGCACAAAAACTGCACAAACACTAAATCACTAAAACATTGAAAATTTCAAATAAATAAATAAATAAATAAATAAATAAATCCCATCATATTCATCAGTTCCAGAGACCCCGATAAATACAAAGAGATGAATATTTCCCAATTTTTATTCATCCCCCACAGGAAAAGAGGGAAGGCTAGCCTAGACAAAACATTTTTTTATAGAGAAAAAAATTCTTCCCACCTGGCCCACTGATCAGCGGACTGGCAGGCCAATAGGCAGCTACCCACCCCCACAGCCACCCACCCAAACAGCCTACCCCCTGCTCCCATCCTCTCCCTACCTTAGCCACTGCCACCATCCAGCGCCACCACCATCCAGCGCCACCCACTGCAGTGGCCTCCGCAGCCATGCTTGCCACAGCCTGCAGTAAGAGCTGCCCTTTGCAAAGATCACAGCTGCGGCTTAATTTAGGGTGGGGATTGTCAGCGGCAGCTGCCATCTTTGCAAAGGGCAGCCTGGATTCCCTTAGCTGGCTGCAGCGGTGGAGGGGGATGAGCAGCGGGGGGGCAGGCAGAGGCATGGGGAGCAGCACGCCACATAATAGATGTCACATCCAAGCAAGTGTCCATAGCATTAGTACTATGTCGCCACGCATGGCTTAAATCTGCCGACATGTTAGATAATACACAGTCTAGAACTGAAGACTTTCCCTTTGATGGCAATGATCTTTTTGATGAAAAGATTGATGAAATTCTGGACAACCTTCAGAAACTGAGGAGAACAACAAGACTGTAAGATACTCAGCAATATTGCCCACAAAATTATTGGCACCATCCCTATATTTACCACCATTATAGACCTCAGCCACAGTAGGCTATGCAATTGAATTTGATTGCTTCCCACCAACCGGTCTCTTCAAGAACACCACTCCTTCTCCTGCCCTGGAAGAGGAGATATGCTCTCTACTACAGAACGATGCTATCACTTTAGTTCAACAGGCAGACATTGCTCGGGGCTTCTGTCATGATCTCCATGTGGCCCCTGTTTGTTTCACCAAACTAGCTCATGCTACATGCCCCTCAGCTGCCATCAGTTGAATACATCAACATTACCTGTTAATAACTGACACATGTCATTAAAAAAAAAAACCAAGCAGAAATTGTTTATCATTACAGATGTTGACAGGACAAGGAATGTTGCTAACTCTTAAATAAACATCCTCCTTTATCCACCCTCAACCACCACTTTCCCGCCCAAACTCCTAAACACCACACCAAAATCTTCAAAACTCTCTCAAACTCCCTATCTCAACTCCACTCCTCCTAAGTCTCTTATACAGGGGTGCCCCTCTAGACGCTTACCCTGCATGACATCGAAATTGCTTAACGATGACTTCTGCAGCTCCCACACTTACTGACCCTCAATCAGGGCAAGACATTTCACCCAGACCTCCAGACTCTACTCACCACCACCTGGAGGATACTCCCTTGATAAATCAGGTTTTGGACCGTACCCACAAACCTTCTACTAACACTGTATAATTAGAAGTTGAGCATCTTTTCGAAATTTGCACCATCGCGTAACTTACTTGCCACTCCAACAACACTAGACGCTGTTCTTGTCTTGCTCCTACATCTTTTCAGCCAAGGTCTCTCATGGTCTACACTAAAGGTATATATTGCTGCTATAGTTGCTTATCAACTTCAGAACACAGACTCTGCATCCTTATTCAGACATCCTATGCTCAAACAATTTTTGTGTGGACTACGAAATATCCACTCATCATGCAAATCACCTACACCTCAAAGGTCGCTCCAGCTTGTCCTTAACCGCCTAATATGGCCACCCTTTGAACTATTGGCAACACACTGGAAAAACTCTTGGCTTTTAAAACAACCTTCCTGGTTGCCATCACTTCAGCCCACAGGGTCAGCGAACTCTCTGCATCAACCCACCCTTTCTACAATTCCATCCTGACAAGCTCAAGCTATATCCTGAACTCACATTCCTTCCTAAGGTGGCATCTGAATTTCATTTAGGACAACCCATTGTTCTGCCCACATTCTTCCTATCACCTGCTAATGACCTAGAGCACTCCCTACACTTCTTAGATGTTAGGCACACCTTGGCATTTTATGTCTCCTTTTCTGCTTCCTTTCAGAAATCCAAGAGTTTTCATCAGTTGCCATGGCCCTTCTAAGGGTTCTCCAGTCACTTCCCAAATCATTGCCAAATGAATTATCTCTACTATTCGCCTGGCGTATGACCTTGCCAATGAACCTTTACCTGAGCCACTTCAGGCACACTCTACAAGAGCCGTAGCAACATCCATGGCATTTCTAAGAGGGGCTGACCTAACTGATATTTGCAAAGCAGCCACTTGGGCTACACCCTCCACATTTGCTAGCCATCATTGGCTAGATGTCGATGCCAAGGCTGAAGCTTCATTTGGTCATGCTGTTCTAGCCTGTGCACGTTCGTGACATCCCACCTCCTGGCAAGTCAGCTTGCTAGTCACCCATTCGTGTGCATTCACAGAAACCACAAAGAAGAGAGGTTGCTTACCTGTAACGCTTGGTTCTTTGAGTGGTCATCTGTGAATTCACATTTCCTCTGTTCATCATGTATGCTTATTGCATGCTGGGGCAGACTGTTCCAGGGAACTGAGGCACTCTGTGCCATCAGCAGGACAAGCGTACCAGAAGGAAGGTCCTGATGGACACATGTAAAAGCTCTAGAAGTTTCCAAGGTTCTCTGCGCAAGCACACTGAAAACCATTTGTGTGAATTCACAGTCGACCACTCAAAGAACAAGAGCTACAGGTAAGTAATCTCTTTTTCTCCCCAGCCATCTTACAACAAGATACCTAGCTTTAGAGGTGAACAGGTGACAACTAAGAATTGATTTGGGAAAAGCAAGGGAAGCAGTGCATTTGAGTATATACTGCATTTCTCATGTCCCTCAAATACCAACATCTTTAAACTTTAAATACGTGAATGTAACATGCTACTGCTACTTTGCACTCCCTTTATCTCCTTATCTCCATTATTTGCAAACCTGTTTAGATTTGATAAAAACTAAATACTGTATATTGGAGGCATGGCCTCAGCTGCAAAAGTATAAGGGGTTGTGCAGTGCAAAAAAAACATGGCAGAAAGTCCTAAACAGAAGAAACATTCCCTCTTTTTCATCACTGAGCATCATCACTGTAGGGAGAGCAACAGGTTCTCCAGCCCTATTCTGCTCTATACACACCAGAATTGTAACTAGGAGGGTGTGGCTTCAGCTTTACCTAGAGTGTCAATATTTTACAGAGTGCAAACTTTGCTACTAGAAGGGCACAAATCTGCTTGTCCCAGTGCATATAGCACTTCCAACTAATCCTCTAGGCAAAAGAAAACATAAAACAGGTGGGCTTAATACAGAAACCTATACGGCTGTAATGCACTCAGCTCCAGGCACTTTTCCCATTCCTCCATCTTCTCCCCATGTATGCCAACATCAGTTGATCTACTGTATACTTAAGGTAGTGAATCGCCAGGCACCAAACAAGGCAGTGAATCGCCAGGCACCAAAATTGCTAGTTCCAGCTCCAGAGAAAGGCACTCTCCTTTTCTTCAAATTCTGACAGCAAATGGTAATGCTAAAACAAGGCAGCATGTGAGACATAATAGGAAAAAGAAACACAATGGCATGATCTTGGGGTCCAATGGTTTCCTCTAGGAATGATCCTAGAGATTTGAAAAATGAATCAAACAAAAATACACTAAACCAGCTTGAGAAGGAGATCATTGTGCCAGCATCTGACCAGTCTCCCTCTGACTTGGAAGACTTGAGCTCAGAAGCATCAGTTGTGTCATAATCTCATACATTCTATGGGAGCCAACAGCTATTGAAAGAAGATAGAGCTGGCCACGAAGAAGGAGTCACACTCTATTTGAGGATGGGTTAACTGTCACTGAACTTGCTCAGTGGGGTTGACTATCCTGAATGCCATGTCATCTTGGATTGGCATTACTGAAACTGATCTGTTCTGCCTTGCCTGATCTGTTCTGCCTTGCCATGTTTCACCTTGGATAATGCAATTTGAAAAAAACATGAACTTCATTTTCAGGAAATGTTATTACAGCAAACACATGGGTTTCCTCCTCCCCTCTCTGGGAAATTTCCCCAAATGTAAATTATCAGTAATTACTCAAGCTATCAAGTGAAAGGACAGTCACTACAGGACACTGAAAGTGAACAGACTCTTCAATTAATAAAAGCAAGAGCCAATGTTAGCAAGAGTCTAGCCATCAATTACAGTACTCCATAATACACCATGACTGGCTGAAAAAGAAAACCAATGAAATAAAAGGGAGCTGCGTGGTCAATACAAAATACAGGTGCAAGAGTAGCAATACCTTTACAGACTACTAAAAGACATTGTCATACAATATGTGAATATTCGTGGATCAAGACCACTTCATCAGGCTTGTACCAATGTGAAGCCCTTACATTCTAAAAGTTCATGGCAAGATCGATTTCACCAGACACATCTTTCTTAGATGTAGGTCAAGAAAGATGCAAGCAGCATTTTTGTTGTTTAGTCCTTTAGTCCTGACCAACTCTTCGTGACCCCATGGACCAGAGCACGCCAGGCCCTCTTGTCTTCCACTGCCTCCCAGAGTTGGGTCAAATTCACGTTGGTTGCTTCGATGACACTGTCCAACCATCTTGTCCTCTGTCATCCCCTTCTCCTCTTGCCTGTTTTAATGGTACAGCTGAGGCAGCTGTGGAGGGACACCCCAAGTTATACCAAACATAAATTGAAACATGAGCTCATTTACTGCATCATATGCAGCTGCTTGCCAAATTCTTTATAATGCAACAACAAATTTAAAACCCTGAAAGACTAATCGTTAGTATTCTGTAGGGTCACCCCAAGTTATACCAAACATAAATTGAAACATGAGCTCATTTACTGCATCATATGCAGCTGCTTGCCAAATTCTTTATAATGCAACAACAAATTTAAAACCCTGAAAGACTAATCGTTAGTATTCTGTAGAACTAGCAATATTTCAACAAGATATGAGACATTTAATTTGCATTGACTGCAATGTGGAGACACCGCGGAGAAAAGGAGCAATTGCTGAATGGCAGTACTTTCCTCGAAGGGAAAGCCCCCCCCTCCCTACCGAAGCCAACTATATCCTCTGGGTAGGAGAAGTAAACTCCCCCGCGAGGGCTGTTGGAATGCCGGAAGCTAAAAGTAAAAAAAGCAACGTCATTCTCTTGAGTAAATACAGTAATCCTATTACTCCCTGGGGCCTGATTAAAGCGGGTAGCGTTTCCTTGCGAAAACTCTAAATAAAGGCACATTTTGAAAAAATACAAGGAAATAAAAACACGGCATGAACGGCGCTCCCAGAAAACATCTTTCCACCCCTCCCGCAGGCGGATTTCCCCGGCGGGGTCCCCCTCCAGTCCCTGCCGGCTGCGACGTCATCCGAGGGGTGGCCCCTCCGGCCGGCAGGCCGGCCCCCTCCCTCTTCCTGCTGCTGCTGCTGCTGCTGGGGGCTCAGCCGGCCATCAAAGGGAAAGGGGGGGAGGGAGAGAGGGAGGGAGAGGCTGCGCCTGGATGGATGCCTCTCGGAGTTTGCTCGCTGCAACGCTTCTGCTGCGGCTTTTTCGGCCCACTAAGGATCTCTGTTCCTTTGAGTTCTGAATTGCTCTGATTGGAAACCTTCTGTCCAAGATAAAAATAACAATAACGGTAACAGAGTCGTGTGCCACGAGGACCCTTCCACCGTAGGGCGACCCTAACAAGAGTTGTCGGGGTCTGTGGGACGCGGCCGCCCCTGGTGGAGTTTCCGCGATCAAGGGAAGAGCTGCACTCCGCTGTGCTCGAGCCTCAGGCCGACACTCTCTCCGGGTTCTCCGTCCCATCCGTCAGCATTTAGTCGCTCTTGTCCCGGGGCGCTCCGTTTACATTCACGCACAGGAGCTGCGGGGCCCGAGGCGAGGAGCTTTTCGTCCGTTTTCTCCGCCCCGTTGCTGGACGCCGGCCGCGGCTTGAAGGAAAGACCTTCCCCAATATCCGAATATCAAAATCAGTATAACTTACCTGGGAGAAAATATGTTTAAGACGCCAGTTTTTGTGTAAAATATACCTTCTCCCCTCCCCTCATCCAGAAATATAACCTGCCCCTTCTGTACTTGATTGCACACGCGGAAACTGGCCTTTACATCGGCTGGACCAAAAGTTCCCCGTCCCGGAGGATGATCCAGCAGATCGCCCTTCCAAAGGAAACCAGAGGAGAATTTCCGAAAAATCACCCTCCTGTAAGGGTTCGAGACGCAAAGTTTGTACGTCGAAAAGAAAGCTTACCTTCAAGGGATTCTGGAGAGCGTGGACCTGGGAAGTGCAGTCACCTCCTCTGGTGCCACCGCTACCTGTCTACTCAAAAATAAGTTTGTTCTCCTTCAGTGGGACTTACTCCCAGGTCAGGGAAAGCAGGAATGCAGCTCTACACGCGCCTGCGTAAGCCCCATAGAGCTCAGTAAGACTTATTTCTGAGTGGACCTCGATGGGCCAGCGCTGCAATTCCGGAGCTGTCCAGGTCGATCTTGGGGCAGAAGTCCGGGGGCAGAAGAGCCACCAAGTAGCTCGACGGAGGGAAGCGCGACCTTATCGTCCTGGGCCGGAGACGACCCGATCAGACGCGCAGAGAAGATTCCTAAGACTTCAAGAAACAACCACTGACTCCTCTACATGGACGGCGGGGGCCGAGCGCTCTTTTTTTTTGCCCCCCCCTCCGCGCCCTCCCCTCCCGCGCACACCTTAACTTGGCCGAGAGTTTCGAGCGCCTCACCCCGGCCGGCCGGGGCTGCTCCTCCCCTCCCTCCGTCCCTCCCTCCCTCCTTTCCCGGGCCGAGCAGGGAAGCCGCCCACTGGGCGCCGTGGGGGCCCCCCCTCCGAGCCGGGATGGGTGTGAGGCTTCCTCCCCAGCGGTTGACGGGAGACGCCCCCTCGCCTCTCAGGGCAGCTGGGTGGGTGGGGGGTCTCTCCGGAGGATGATGGCATGGGGTGGAGGAAACGGGAGACGCGCGCTCCTCTCCGTGAGGGCAGCGGGGCGCCGGCCCCTGCCAACGTTAGAAAGGATGGGGCGGGGGAGACCTCATCCTGCCCTGGATGGATCCAGGGAGTCCCAGGCCGGAGCGTGGCAGAAGCAGGGTGGGGAGGACCAAGCGGCTTTAACAAGCCTTTGCATGTTCCTTCAGAGCAGCGCATGAGGTGAGTTCAAGGTGGGTGTTCTACAATGAATTATTGATTGATTGATTGATTGATTTGATTTGATTTTTATACCTCCCATCTGGCTACCAAGGCCACTCTGGGCTCTTCACAAACCTGGAAAGAACATAAAACATTCTCAAGAAGATTTTGGTAGAAAGGTAAGCTTTTGTTAAAAGCCACAAGCTAAAAAGAATAGGTCAATTCCTTAGAAACAAGAAAGATGGTTACCTGGTCAACATTTCATTTCAGTGATCACATATCCCAGTCCTTAACAGGTTCCTGTCCAGCTCCAGTCCGCTACCCAAGACAAGATTATTGCAATTCAGTTGTTGCACTCCTGGCTACAGTCACACTACAGAAATGTCCCTGCTTTCTCACATCTTCTGCTTCCTGTAAAGTCGCACCTTTTGGTCATGTGGTACTGTATATATCCTGTGATAGTGGTTCAAACGTTCTTTAACCATTCTGCCTTTTATATCCTGTGATCGTTGTTCAAACGTTCTTTAACCATTCTGCCTTTAGGGGATAAATTAGATGCAATGTGTTTGTCTACACCCCTCTAGTGGGGCATATCCCCTTCCTTTTTCCGGAGTTTCTCTGCTCCCCTTCCTCCTTTTTTATAGCTTCTGCATGGGTACATTGGTGTGTTGGCAAAACGGTTTGGCCGGCCACATACCAATCTGGGACATTTCTTCCTATTTCTGTGCTGCATTGCCCTCTCTGGAGGAGAACCCACAGCACATGGCCGTGGCTGTCCAATGACAGTAGGGCGACTGGTTCTCCACATGCTTTCTTATGGCCATTCCTGGAGGAATTTGGGAGAGTGTCCCACTGTGCTTCCAGTTCCCTGTACTTCTAGGAAAGGCTTCAACTTCCTCCTTGTACTTTCCCCATCGCCCCCCTTCTTCCTTTCCCTTTACAGTCGTTGTTGAGATTCATAACAAGGTACACATCTATTCCACATTTATTCCACACCAATAACTTCTCAAAAATGACAAGTAACTCTCAACGTGCTGATTTGTCGTTATATCAAAAATGGCCAATGCTACTTTGTGCCATGAACTCAAGATGTCAGCTTCTATGTTTTCTCTGCCTGTTGATGATGCAGCCTACCTGGGTCAAAATGGCCACTTCATATTACCTACTTGCACACCCAAGTCCATTCTGAGAACTCTGGAGTTACTTTTTCCTGCCAATGGTTTTTTTTTCCTAGAAAAAATGTGACGCTTTACACATCTGCCCTGCTTCCTGCAGAATTTGGACAGGTTGGGTGTGGACTGCAGCTCCTGGATGATTCCTGGGAGAGGGAGCTGGTGGGCAGATACTGTTTTGGCTACTTGGGACAACACACTATGGCTTCAGGACTTTAGAATGACAAGGCAGACACTTTGGCTACCACTTGTCTCCTGGACTTTTACCCTTTCTTGGCTTATAAGAGCTGCCTGAGAGAGACTGGCCGAGTGGGTCCAAGGAGTAGTGAATGCCTCCTTGCAGCAGGATAGGATCCCAGCTTGCTTGATAGAGGCAGTAGTAAGACCATTATTGGGAAAAAAAACCTTCCTTGGACCCCCAGTACTGGATAATTACCGGCCCGTCTCTAATATTGCATTCTCGGACAAGGCATTGGAGCAGGTTGTGGCCTCTCAGCTCTGGTAAAACTGGTCTTGCCAGAATTACTATGGTTACTAACCTCTTCATTCCCTGATTCACATTCTTCACATTCTTCTTTTATCTATGCCTTCCAGTCCATCTTTCAAGTCCAACTTTAAAATCATTCCAAATTTTTGCATCCTTTTTAAGATAACTGTGTTTATGTTTTCTTCCAATATTTCCCATATTATAGCTACAGTAACTACGTGTATTATCAAATGTTTCATTTATCTACAATCTCAGACATAATAGTCAATTAACACCATTCCAGTTTAAATGATATCTTACAAAATGCAATTTTCCCCAGTATTTCAACACTTCATATACTGACCTGCAATTGTTGTTGTTTAGTCGTTAAGTTGTGTTTGACTCTTTGTTGTCGGAGTCTGGCTCCAACAATGCAGGTGGCACAGGAGAGAAACCTCTGAAGAAGAAGCTGTAGTCACGAAGTTTAGCATACACACACTGTGTCTCAGCGAACTCTGCTCTCCCTCAGAGTCTCTGAGCACCTCTTATTAGGCACAAGGTTACAGAAAGTGTTACATGCCAAACAAATCAGTCGTGAGTTCATTCTGTCTAGCAACAGATTAGAGTGTGCACATTACAAATTTACCAGCAACTAAGAAGAGAGGCAAACAATAAATTCAGGAATGTTATCACAGTCTTCCCAGGACTCCCACACTTCATGACCCCATGGACCAGAGCATGCCAGGCCCTCCTGTCATCCACTGCCTCCCGGAGTTTGGTCAAATTCATGTTGGTTGCTTCGATGACACTGTCCAACCATCTCGTCCTCTGACCTGCAAGAACCTCCAATAATTTTCTGCTTCCACACCTGTCCACCCAATATGGTTAAAATTACCCTCCCGTGTTTTCCATTTTCAATACTTACTAAAAAATTTTTTTCATAAAGCGGCTTCTTCTGAAGACAGTGTCCAATTTTAATTTCTATATGTGATCGTAAATTCTTTTACGTCTGATATTACTCTATTTTTTTCATATGAGTTTCTTGGAGGCTCACTTTATCCATCTTTGTTATTAAGGTTTTCTTTCCTCTTCTTAGATCCTCTTTTTCCATGGTGTGCTTTCCTTTGGCACTTCCCATTTGGTTTTTTAGCTGAAATTCTGAACTTTCTTCTGAGTTTGGTGCTAATGATCCACTTAATTGCTTCTCTTCCTGTTGCTCATCTGTCTTTTTCTCCTCCCTCCTACCCAGCCATTTCTTACAGTCAGCCCTCGATTTACGAACTTAATATGTTCCGGAAGTCAGTTCGTAAATTGGAAAGTTAGTAAATTGAGCCAGCATTTCGCATAGGAATGCATTGGAAACCAATTAATCTGTTTCGGCCGAAGTCCTCCCATAGTGCTGGGGAAGCAAGGCTTTTCACCTGATGTTGCTGTGGCTGCTGAGTCCCCTTTGAGCTGGGCCAGGGACTGAGCTCAGCCCAGAACGGAGAGGACTCAGCATCGGGTAAAATGAGGGAGCCAATTTCTCCCCGGCCGCCCAGCTTGCTTCTTGTTTGGAAAAGCAAGCCAGGCGGCCAGGGAGAAATCGGCTCCCTCCTTTCACTCAATGCTGCCGGGGCTGCCTCCTTTTTGGCTTCGGAGATTTCAAAACTCCAAAGGCAGGGAGGAAGGGCAGGAAATTCGAACTTCCCGCCCTTTCTTCCTGCCTTTTTTGGCTTCGGAGGTTTCAAAGGGCTTCCTCCAATGTCAGAGGAAGCCTTTTGAAAGCTCCAAAGGCAGGGAGGAAGGGCAGGAAATTTGAATTTTCCGCCCTTTCTCCCTGCCTTTTGGTTTCATAACTTGATCTGCGTTTGCAAGTAAGGTCTGCTACTTGTGATGAGATTGGGTTCATAACCTGAAACGATCGCAACTAGGGCCATTCGTAAGTCGAAGGCCCACTGTATTTGCCCCCCCCCCCCATAAAGTCTTCTGCTTTTGTTGTTAACAGAATATCTCTGGGACTGGAATTGGAAAGAGACACCAGGTATCCACCACTTAAATGTAATTGAGTTTGTTCTCAGGAAATATGTTAACTCTGTGTACTGTCTCCTTTTCTGTCTTTGCCATGGAATATGTTTCAAAATTTTAATTTCTTTTCCTTTTATTGTGCATTCTTAGAACATTTTCTCGAAATACCATTCTTGTGAATTTAACACGGATTTCTCTGGGGAGTTTGTTATTCCTGGTGTATGCTGTTTTAATTCTTCATACTGTATCTATATTTTGCTATACTTCTTCTGGCTACATCTCCATATTCCATAGGTGGGGCTAAAAAGTTAGTTACCAATTGCACTGTGTCCACCTTTTTGTTCTGGATGATTCTGGAATCTAAGTATGAGGTTCGCTCACTCTATTTATAACTAGCAGGCTGATTTCATCTTGTTTTCTTTCATATTTCATCACTACTAGCTCTGCATTCATAATCTCCAGTTTTTCTGATTTTCTTGAGATTTCTTGTATTTTGTCTATTTCTTTTTTATTTTCTGTAATTTGGTGTTTAGTATCAGTCATTTGCAACCCTAAATCTTTTATTTGTTCAGATACCTGAGCCATTCCTCCTTGTATCTGCTGTAATTCTGTGGATAACATATTTTGAATGTTCTGTTGCCAATCCTTAAGTGTTTCTTGCCCTAATAATTTCAGATTTTGTTCCTGTGCAGGTGAGCCTCTCAGTGGCTTTTCCTTTCCTCCTTTCACTGTCATCTTCAAATATATATTTTTATGATTAATCTTCCAAAATTTTCAAAGATACTATCTGGTTTCTTTCCCAGCAGGTGTCGCTGCTTCCCCACCTTTCATTCAAACAACACTATTTACCTAGCCTGTCCAAAATATAGGTCAGCACCTCTCTCTTGTTGAAATATTCTCACAGCCACCAGTCAAAACAATG